CCCCAAAACCCCAAAACCCCAAAACCCCTTAGTATTATTTGAGGGTGAATTTAATAAAATTCTATAAATAATTTACAAAACATTTTTGAAACGAATTGTTATATAACATAAGTATTCACTTAAAAACCTATCTTTTAATTTGAGCTTTTTATAATTGTAGTGGTTCAATCTCTCTTGGTGCTAGTTTTCTAAGCATCAAGTTGTTTCTAAGTTAGAGTCAGAAGATTGACACCTAATATTGCTTTTAATTCGATTATCACGCATATTACCAAATGTATCAAGGCTAGGAATGAAATAGTTGCTAAGCCAAGATACATTAATGCCTCATTCATTATACTTTTTCCAGTTACTATTGCACAAATAGTATTAGCTATTAGAAGTCCCCATGTTAGAATGGTAGTCCTTCTGTATGGATTAAATACTTCCTTGGTCACTATAGAGTATTGAATTCTCAGGCATATTAGGATAAACTAGAAGCCGAAGGCATATTGTACTCTCTTAGTGTGAGTTTCAGAAATATTTTCTGGTGAAAAGTATGCGGCAGCGAAAAATACTATAATGTGAATGATCATCCACAAATTGTGAAGGATAAATGTGGGCCATCTAAATGTCTTTTTGAAATGAGGAGTATTTCTACTTTGGTAAATATTTATGAAACTATTAATATTTAGACAAGATGAGGTGATCTTACTTTGGAATTACTTGGAAGTAGGAAGATCCTGATAATGTTAAGATAAGCAAATAGCTATAAGTGATTTCATACCCAAAAATGTTTATTTGAGATAAAAATAACTCCTTTGGTCCATAGTAGCCTCCTGCAAAGCATATGAATATATATAGAAATGATCCGTCATCAATTCCATTAACTACTTATAGAATTAGTTCTCCGGTATAGTATTGTTCAATAGTGGCAAAGTAAAATGGTAGAGTTGAAGCAGTTAGACTTATAATTGCACTATAATTATTGCCTAAATAATTGTGACGTAAGTACAAAACTTCATTGAAATTGATGCTTACCAACTTGAACGAGAGTTTGAATAATTAAGATACAAACAAAAGCAGTGATGCTATCCATTCCATGATCAATTAGCATACCTAATGCAGAAGAGCTCCCAGTTCTTCTTGCCTATTTCCCATCTGTATTATCACATACCATGTATATGAAGAATGAAATTCCTAAGAAGTAGCAAAACCACGAAGGTAAGTCTCCTTCAAGATCATTGGTGAAAAATAAAGGGATCATAATGTGAGGACCAAGATTAAACAAGAATCCAATCAGAGAAACTAGATTTGGTCTACACGATTTAAGAGACAATATATTATTACGCTAGCCACATCGGCAATATCTGAGACAACTTCGTGCATATTGGACTGTAGAAGTAATTATACGAGTAGCTGAGCTCTTAGCCCTAATACTTATGCGTTCTTATAAGCTAGTACTAATCTTCCTTAATGTATGGGGAGTTACTTTTAATTAACCTATTGAATAATGTTAGGAAATAGAGTAGATTTAGAGCGCTTACCAAGACATTACTATTTCAAAAAAATTAATATAGATTTTAAATTATTAATTCTAACTAACTTTATCTTGAATTATAAACTACTAGGGGTTTTGGAATTGTTAGCATTAGATGCTTTGGATTAATT